TCCATGAGTCAGGATGCGACCAACAGCAGTCGACTAACACCTAGGTAAACACGGGCAACAAGTGTAATGCAGCACCCAACGTTTCCACTCTTGCTAGGATCAAACTCCGGTCCTTAAAACTTGAGCCGTATCCCACAGAGGTAGGATAACCCGAAAAAGAAGAAACACTTTCAACATCACTCCATCACTGTTTTGCCAGAGAAGTACCGATGCTGCAGTTCAAAACTATATAAGCTAATACCGTAGATCTTAGCCGAATGCGAAAAAAAATAGCAGAAAGCTAAGACAGTAAGGCGTGAGTATCAGCAACAAAGTTAATAGAAGTCTTGGCTTCATATTAAAATCTGGAGAATATACACTGGTTTCATAACAAAACCTAGAGAATGTACAGAAAGCTTTCACTGAGCGTATAAGATACTCTATTTCTTTGTAAAGGTTACAATGTATAATTACAATTTTGATTTGCTAAGTACAAAGATAGCCACTATCATGCCGGGGCATTTAGGGCAGCCTAATCCTAGTACATAGTAACTCATTAAAACTAGACAAGATAATAAGAACGTAGTAAGTATACTTAAAACTAGACAAGAAGTAGTGGTTTAATGTTTTACAAACTTATTTAAACTTAATACAAATGTGAGGTAGTAAGATTCCGTAAAATAATCTTGAAATTGCACACAGAATCTATATTACAAGTAATGGTTCAGGTGGTAATATTTTATGACTTGGCAGAATTAAAAGCCTAGAGGTTACATAATAAAACTAATTACCAGATGTTTAGGTTGATTTGATTAATATTGGGAGATAAGATGATTTTTTTTTTTTAGCAAAGTCCTAAATTGAAAAGTTGTCAGGGGATCCTTGACCTGCTCCGGTAGTGAGTTCCAGATTTTTGGGCAGTTTATGTGCACAGTGTTCTTGTATAGTGAGAGACTGACTCAGGGATGTTAAAAAGTGCCTTATGCCTTATGCCCATAATGCCTAGTCTTTTGAAAAGTGTTTTGGAGCACCTCAGTTGCTGGGAACGGCTGAAGTCCCTTGACCTGTACTCCTTGGGATGCAAGCGAGAAAGATACGTGTTAATATACACTTGGAAAATCCTAGAGGGACTAGTCCTAATTCTGCACACGGAAATCACTCCCTGCGAAAGCAAAAGACTTGGCAGGAGGTGCAACATTCTGCCAGTGAAAAACAGGGGCGCCATGAGTTACCTGGAGTTTACCTGGAGAGAGTTCTGGGGGTCAACGCCCCCGCGGCCCGGTCTGTGACCAGGCCTCCTGGTGGATCAGAGCCTGATCAACCAGGCTGTTACTGCTGGCTGCACGCAAACCAACGTACAAGCCACAGCCCGGCTGATCAGGAACCGACTTTAGGTGCTTGTCCAGTGCCAGCTTGAAGACTGCCAGGGGTCTGTTGGTAATCCCCCTTATGTATGCTGGGAAGCAGTTGAACAGTCTCGGACCCCTGACACTTATTGTATGGTCTCTTAACATGCTAGTGACACCCCTGCTTTTCATTGGGGGATGTTGCATCGTCTGCCAAGTCTTTTGCTTTCGTTGTGAGTGATTTTCGTGTGCAAGTTCGGTACTAGTCCCTCTAGGATTTTCCAGGTGTATATAATCATGTATCTCTCCCGCCTGCGTTCCAGGGAATACAGGTTCAGGAACTTCAAGCGCTCCCAGTAATTGAGGTGTTTTATCTCCGTTATGCGCGCTGTGAAGGTTCTCTGTACATTTTCTAGGTCAGCAATTTCACCTGCCTTGAAAGGTGCTGTTAGTGTGCAGCAATATTCCAGCCTAGATAGAACAAGTGACCTGAAGAGTGTCATCATGGGCTTGGCCTCCCTAGTTTTGAAGGTTCTCATTATCCATCCTGTCATTTTTCTAGCAGCTGCGGTTGATACAGTGTTATGGTCCTTGAAGGTGAGATCCTCCGACATGATCACTCCAAGGTCTTTGACGTTGGTGTTTTGCTCTATTTTGTGGCCAGAATTTGTTTTGTACTCTGATGAAGATTTAATTTCTTCGTATTTACAATATCTGAGTAATTGAAATTTCTCATCGTTGAACTTCATATTGTTTTCTGCAGCCCACTGAAAGATTTGGTTGATGTCCCCCTGGAGCCTTGCAGTGTCTGCAATGGAAGACACTGTCATGCAGATTCGGGTGTCATCTGCAAAGGAAGACACGATGCTGTGGCTGACATCCTTGTCTATGTCGGTTATGAGGATGAGGAACAAGATGGGAGCGAGTACTGTGCCTTGTGGAACAGAGCTTTTCACCGTAGCTGCCTCGGACCTTACTCTGTTGACTACTACTCTCTGTGTTCTGTTTGTGAGGAAATTATAGATCCATCTACCAACTTTTCCTGTTATTCCTTTAGGACGCATTTTGTGCGCTATTACGCCATGGTCACACTTGTCGAAGGTTTTTGCAAAGTTTGTATATATTACATCTGCATTCTTTTTGTCTTCTAGTGCATCTAGGACCTTGTCGTAGTGATCCAATAGTTGAGACAGACAGGAGTGACCTGTTCTAAACCCATGTTGCCCTGGGTTGTGTAATTGGTGGATTTCTAGATGGGTGGCGATCTTGCTTCTTAGGACTCTTTCAAAGATTTTTATGATATGGGATGTTAGTACGCTAAGAAACAACACAATAAGTGTCAGGGGCCCAAGAATCTTCAACTGCCTCCCAGCATACATAAGGGGGATTACCAACAGACCCTGGCTGCCTTCAAGAGGGAGCTGGACATGCACCAGAGTCAGTACCTGACCAGCCGAACTGCGGTTCGTAAGTTGGTTTATGAGCAACCAGCAGTAACAACCTGGTTGGTCAGGTTTCCGGGGGTCAACGCCCCCGGAACACCCTCCAATTATACTCCAAGTATCTTTGGTTAGATCTCAATTAGATCCTGCTTTTCAGTTCTGATCTCCATATTATATAGAGATTATATAAATATATAGAGAAGGATAAACTTAATTCCGGATATTAGTGGAAAGACGTAGAATTAGAGAAGATACGACTTTAAATATAACGTACAAATGAAAAAGAGCAATAAATAATAGGTATATAAACTGGGTGTTGAACGTAGTTAACCTAGACAAGAATCAGCAATGGATTCAAGTTCAATTCAATTCAATTCAATTCAAAGTTTATTCTCTATAAGGATTACAATGCTGAGTTTACAGAATTTGGTTATTGTGTGGTTTACATGTAGTAAAATAATGATTACAGAGTGTACCACTAGAACACCTAGCATGGCTAGGCATTTCAGGCAGACTTAGTTTAATTCTTAATTTTAAAATATTACAAATTATGAGGTAAGTTGGTATTATGGCTAAGTGACTAAATACTAGTTTGTGAGTTTAGCAATGTGAATGCTTTTGTTTTGGCACAGTACATAGTTTCAGTATTGGAGTATCACAGGATTCATTATTTTAAGATTGAGATTAATATTTCTGTTTATGGTCAAATGGGTGAGTGTAAGTGTGAACCACCAGGTGGTATTCGTGTAGTTAGTCGACGGGGTGTATCAGGGAGATAAGATGTTTTCTAATGGTAGTTTTGAAGGTGATGAATGTGTCTGCAGTTCTAGAGTTCTCAGGTAGGGTGTTCCAGATTTTAGGGCCTTTGACATACATTGAATTTTTGTAAAGGTTTAGTCGGACACGGGGAATGCCGTAGAGATGTTTGTGTCTGGTGTTATGCCTGTGGGTTCTGTCACAACTGTCAAGAAAGCGTTTTAGGTCAAGGTTGATATTGGAGTTTAAGGTCCTGTAGATGTAGATTGCACAGTAGTAAGTGTGGATGTAATGAACAGGGAGTAAGTTTAGATCTATGAAGAGTGGGGGGGTGTTGCCAGGGATGGGATTTAGTGATTATTCTTACTGCAGCTTTTTGTTGGGTTATTATTGGCTTTAGGTGTGTTGCTGCAGTTGATCCCCAAGCACAAATAGCATAGGTGAGGTATGGATAAATGAGTGAGTGGTATAGTGTGAGAAGGGCATTTTGCTGCACGTAGTATTGTATCTTGGAGAGGATCCCAACCGTTTTGGATACTTTTTTGGTTATGTGTTGGATATGGGTGCTGAAATTCAGGTTGTTGTCAAGGTATAGGCCTAGGAATTTGCCCTCATTATGTCTGGTAATTAGAGTGTTGTCGATCTTAATGTTAATTTGTGCATCTCCTACTCTGCTACCAAACATAATATAGTAGGTTTTGTCAGTGTTAAGCGTAAGTTTATTGGCTGTCATCCAAGTCGATATTTTGATCAGCTTCTCGTTAACAATGGTGTTGAGGGTGGCAAGATTAGGGTGAGAGATGACATAAGTCGTGTCGTTTGGAAGATCATTGATGTATATGAGAAAGAGCAGGGGACCCAGGACACTTCCCTGCGGAACTCCAGTATCAAGTGGCCGTGTTGTTGATGCTGTGTCTTTAATGGTGACATACTGATACCTATTAGTAAGGTAAGATTTGAAATAAGTAAGAGCATGGCCTCTTATACCGTAATGGTCAAGTTTGTGGAGTAGGATGTCGTGGTCTACTGTGTCAAAAGCTTTTCTTAGGTCAATAAAAATTCCTAAAAGTTCGGGAAATTAGATTTAAGAAAGTATATATAAAAGCACTGGCTTGGCAATAGAGTTGTGGCTAAGTGGAACAAACTTCTAAGTAGTGTCACTGAGGCAGGAACTTTGTGTAGCTTTAAATATAGACTGAACAAGTACAAGAGTAGATGTGGGTGGGAGTGAGTTAGACATGCCTTACATGGGACAATAGAAACAATACACCTTTGTTCTCATTGTTCTTGTGAATTTAGAATAAAATTTTATGAAGAGAAAGGAATTACGAATAAATATAGCAGAAAATAATTTAGAAATATACACAATAGATAAAAATATATTCGTAATCCCTTAAGAATGAGCACAACGCAAAGAACGGGAATTCACGCATATTTCCTGCTCAAAATGTCATATACACCTGAACATGCTTTGATTATAATGTTCTAAACCAATAAAATATATTAAATTCCACATAATAATAGAGAAATAAGGCTCATAAAGTCGTAAATATAAATAACATGATGTCAGCAGCCTCCCTCCACGTTGGGTTTGTTATGGTGTGACAGATTCACTCTCACTTGTTCAGGATTTAGGTAAAATAAACTGCTTTTGCACTGGCACATAGCTTCTATGTTCTTATTTACCGTTAATTGACTCCTTTTTCTTTGTCATCACGTGTGGCTTTATTCATTTAATGAAGTAAAAATGTTTTTTTTTCAGTGAAATGTTTGGGGAACACCGCCTTGTTTTGATGTTAAGAGCTTAATTTGCCATATTTTTTAAAAATTAGGGTTATATAGGTGTTATATGTCGATGTATTTTACATATTGGTGGTTATATAGCGTTATATTATGGTAGGTAAGGGAATATATGCATAGGAAGTATATTGGGCTGGGGATATATGTTGCAGGTACTGTAAGGAATTTTTTTTCATTATAAGTGTACTGATGTCGGTGAAAGGGCTTTTGATCCAAGGGTACGGAACTGGCTAACTGTTTCCTTGGATCAAACCTGATTACCACCTACTTAGGTGCTGTAATGTACCCTGATAAACTTACTACGAGTACGTAAGTTTGTTACCATACGGATTTAGCACTTCCCGTAAGGAAATGATAACTTTGAGAGACTTATTACAAAGCACAATAAGCTTTATTTACAATAATAAAGTAAAATGATTCCTAACAGTCATTATAGATGATCATTGTTGACTTTTTTTTTATGATGACTTAACCTAATATATCCACCCGGTTCCTTCAAGAGGATCAGCGCTGTATGACCCTTACGAGTTTAGTGCTTGGTTATGATTATAATGATAAACCTTCAGAGTATGCTGGCAAAGGACTCTTGATCTAAGGAATGTGAGCTGCCCTTCCTTCCCCTCCGTGGGTCAGACTCGATTGAGTGACTTGCAACATTTGGGAATCTTTACTGAGGAAATGTTTTGCCAGCCAGTTCTTCTCTGTATTAAGTAAATAAGTTTATTCAGGTACAGGTACACATAAATACAGTTACATAAATTATCATACATATCAACATGTGTGTAGATTACCCACCGGGATAACCAAAAAAGTCAAAGTGACTTATTTCCATTTGAGTCCTTGTAATATCTTATTATTTAAACCTTAAAAGTTAAAACAGCTAAGTAATTCGACTATGTGACAGAAGAAAATACTGGCTGGTGAAACATTTCTTCAATAAAGATGTTGCAAAAATGTTGTTCCTCGACTTGGTAAGCTTTCTGAACCATTTACATCCCGTGGATCAGACTTCATTGCCACCCATAGGCAATGATTAGTAAGTTTATTTATGCACAAGTACACATAACTACAGTTATCATACATAGTGTAAATTATCTAGGATAACCCCTAAAAAAAGTCAAAGTGGCTTATTACCATTGGGGTCCTTGATCCCTATAGATCAATGACCCCAGTGGAAATAAGTGCTTCCTCATAATGCCTGAAATGCCTTACATAACTAAGGACTTTCTCATATAAGAAACGTTTGTATTAAATGTATCTTATTGGAAAATAAATTAATAACAATAATGTTCTTAGGTAATTTACAGTGTTCGAGTGGTGTATTTATGTGCGTTTGTGTTCACCTGACGTATTTCTGTATATTAGTGTGTTTGACTGATGTAGTTACATATTACAGTATTCACTTAGCGACGTACTCGTGTACTGACACCTCGAACTTACGATGTCCTCTCTGACCAGTATGCGTACTTAAATAATGTATATTAGAGCTGATTTCCTCTATTCTGTTTATTTCAGTATACAGTACACTACTGTATAAACATTTAAAAATATACCAGAAATATTATAAATGGTGGTTGACACAAACCCACTATCATTATAGTATGCTCCTCACTTAGTAATGAATTTGTTTACTAATGTGATATTAGGAACGGAATTCTGTTGTTAAGTGAGGAGAGGCTGTATTAGCGTGCTCAGTTGATGCATTTACATACATTGAAATTTGAATGATGTGTTATATATGTTCCAGTGTTAAATTGATGTAGTTACATATGTTAGAGCGCTCAACTGATCTATTTACATGTCTTAGTATGTTCAACCAACATACTGTATTTACTTGTTAGTGTTCATCTAACAAAAAAAAAAAAAAACTGGATTCAAATCTAGTAGAAGGAAGAATGCCTGGGCAAGTCTTCTTAAACCTGCCCCCGTTCACCTAGTAGTAAATATAAAGATACCCGGGAGTTACTTGACTAGTGGGTCACATCCTAGGGAAGGGGACCTAAAGACCCGAATGAAAATAAACCATCTGAGGTTAACAATCCAAATAAAGTTACTGACATATATATGTGGTACATAATTGTTAGTTCTGTATAATATTGGAAAAAGTTTAGGCTTCTGCCATAATGCAATGAATAGGGACAACAGATGTATGGAAACATGCCCAACGTTGCCACTTGGCTGGGGATTGAACCATGGACACTCGGTGTGTGAGGCAAGAACTTTGCCTACCACGCCACAGGACCTTAGGTTTAGGGATTCCTCATGATTATAAGTATAAATTGTCCCCATATTTACAATAGTAAGGTCAGTGATCCTGACCTTACTATTGGATGTTAAGGATGTCAGTTGCTTTTGGATATTGTTGAGCAGCAAATTTTGCTCATTAAATTGAAAAACCTTTAAATCAGGTCCAATACATCAAGCTTTTACTGTTTATACTATTTGGGCAGCTTACACAACACTAGAAAATGCAGTACAATACACATGATTCCTTTGCATAGCAGTGTCAAGTCCCATCGCAATAATCCATAGACATTTAGGTGTTGCAGTCACTAGCCAGGTGATTCCTTAATCTACTGTAGTCCACTGAGTGAGAATCTGAATCTCTAACTACGTTATCTTTACCATTTTTCCAAGAAACGTTGAGTTTAATTATTGCAAATTCTTCTCTCTTCTTCAAAAGCAAGAAGGCACAATACCATGACTAGAACAATACACAAGTAACCCGCACATAGGAGAAGAAACTTACGACAGTGTTTTGGTTAGACTTGAACCATTAACTAGTCACCAGAATCAAATCAAGCAGATTGCTCTTTCTTGTTGACTCAGTCTCATTATTTCGGTTCTTCAAAGAACATTTGTTCTGGAATAATAAAATCCCAAATTATTTCCTGTTATTACAAGCAAGTGGGCACTGCTCTGCTTGTATGTTAATCAAATAGGCATATTGGATTTTTTTGGCAAATCTTTGGAAACTTTCTACTTTTAATTCATCCCTTTCAGTGGTAGAAATGCAAATGTTTAAAATACATGAGGTAGGTAAAGTTTCAGTACTTAAAATATGCATCAGCATCACTTGCAAAAGTGCAGCTTTGATGGATGAAATTCCCAGTACGTACTTCATCCAGTGCTCTAATTATCAGATAACCCATCACTTGGCCTCGTCTGTCTCTTGAACTCATCATCTGATCTCATCTCTGGCTTACTCTCCTCCCTCAGTCGTGACTTTGTTAATGGTTAAAGGTGGAATGAAATATCGTCTAAAGTTTTTTCCTCATAGTATATGTTGGTTAGTTGCGAACAGCGGGTACAATATTGTGTAACTTTATTGGACACAGGTTGACAGTGCTTCACCTGTGAGGGCTCATGTAATAAAAAGCCAGAAGGAGTAGGGATCTTTCTGTAAGTACTATATAAAGTTGTCATGAATGTCTTGCCATAATGCCAGTACATTCTGTAATGTAAATGATACGCTGATTATCTGTACAGAAGATTATACATATTATTATTATGATTACTATACAACAGATAACTTTAAAAGATTAATGGATTTTTGCACTCATATTTAGTGCTTCTTGATTTTTAGTGTGCATTAGAAATGCTGATAAGTTTAATTTTTTTTCTCTTGGCAGTTCATAATTAGAAATGCCACCCAAAAAAGCGGCAGCGCCTGAGCCCCGGCCTCTGATTGGCCGTGTGGGAACAAATCTGAAAGTGGGCATTGTTGGTCTGCCAAACGTTGGCAAGTCGACCTTTTTCAACGTCCTCACCAAATCATCGGCTCAAGCTGAGAACTTCCCTTTTTGCACCATTGATCCAAATGAAAATAAGTATCCAATATTTATATGCTGTACTGACTAGTTTTATCTTAGATGAAGGTGGGGGGTGTAGAGTATTGGCACACAGTAAATTCTCTACCTTATCTCTTATGTCACTTCAACAATATATCTGCATATCACATGTTATTGTTTAGCTTCACATGCTTATCCCAAACATGTAAGAGATGGGCATCTTGTTTGGTCAGTGTGAATGACAGTTAGCCTTGTAAATACAGTGATCCCTCGTTTATCGTCGTTAATCAGTTCCTGGAAGTGCGACGATTATCGAAATAGACGATTTTCGAATCAATTTTCCTCATAAGAAATGATGTAAATACAATTAATCTGTTCCTGACACCCAGAAGTATTAAAACAAAAAATTTTTTTACATGAAATACAGATGTAGTACATAAACAATACAATGGGACACGATGAATGAGGAGGAGGAGGAGAGATTGGATTAGTTACTGCTTGGAAGGGGAATCCCCTTCCATCAACACCTAGGTACCAAGTCCTTTTCTGGGGTTACATACTTCTCTGTTTCTTAATGGCACTAGAACCAGCTTGAGAGTCACTGGAGTCCTGTCTCGCAAAAAAGTGTCCAGAGAGCTCTGTTTCTGGCATCTCTTTAAAACTTCCCTAAAATGGGTGAAGACTCTGTCACTGTACAAGTTGCCGATATGGCTTGCAACATCCTTCTCAGGGTGATGTTTCTCCATAAATCTTTCCATCCTACCCCACATTTCAAAAATCTCCTTAATTTCTGAAGAAGGCACCTTCTTCCATCTCTCTTCCTCCTCCTCTGCAGCAAGATTCTGAGCTGCGATCTGTTGCTGTTCCTGCTGAAGCTCTTGCAGCTTCTCAGTGGTTAGCTCTTTGTTGTGGTCCTCCTCCAACTCTTCCACATCCTCCAAACTCACATCCAACCCCATGGAACTCCCCAGTGCCACAATAGATTTCACGACTGACATGGGCTTATCAAGGAATGCCACAGACCCTTCAAAATCCCTCTTGTGGACACAATCTGGCCACAATTTTCTCCAAGCAACAACAGCTTCCTTGATTTCCTTTTTCTTTGCCACGATGGAAGATATGGTTGTATGGGGTTTGTTATACATCCTGGCCAGTTCGGCCACACGTACACCACTTTCATATTGTTCAATGATGTTTTTCTTAACCCTTTGAGGGTTTCGGCCGTACTAGTACGGCTTACGACCCAGGGTTTTTGACGTACTAGTACGCCTAAATTCTAGCGCCCTCAAATCTAGTGGGAGAAAGCTGGTAGGCATACATGTGAAAGAATGGGTCTATGTGGTCAGTGTGTGCAGTATAAAAAAAATCCTGCAGCACACAGTGCATAATGAGAAAAAAAAAAAACTGACCATGTTTTTGGAATAAAACAGCGACTTTGCACTGTATTTTCGTATGGTATTTATTGTTGTACTCTAGCTTTCTTGGTCTCATTTTATAGAATGGAAGACATATTACAGAAATTGAGATGATTTTGACTGGTTTTACAATGAAAAGTACCTTGAAACTGAGCTCAAAGTAGCAGAAATGTTCGATTTTTACCTAAGTTCAAAAGTAAACAAATCATGCCAAGCATCCAATACATGTCAACTGGTGAGTCTAATATTCTTTCACAAGTGCGCTGATATTATTTATACCATTTCTACACTAATGCAGCAGTCTGCATAACAGTAAATCTTCTATTTTTTGTAAGAATAAAAATTGAAAGTGGAAAGCCAAAGAAATATAAGAGGGGCCTGGGGATGTGACTAACGAACAGAGGAAATGTTATTTTAGTGCCAGGAATGTCTTTCTTGTTTATTCTGGACCCTATTTGGAAATTGGCATTTTTTGAAATTTGTGTGAAATTGGCAAAATTGCTAAATTCTGACCACTGTATTGGATAGTCAAAATCAGTAAATGGGGGGTTTCTTGTGCTCATTCAATAGAAAAAATGGAGTTCTAGAGAAATAGTTATGATTTTTGCCGACTAGTACATGGAATTGGCTGAAAATAGGGCTCAAAGTGGGCAAAATCGCCGATGAGTAAACATCGTCGAGACCACTAATTTCGCAAGAGCATAATTCCGTAAGTTTTCCATCAAATTTCATACTTTTGGTGTCATTATGACTGGGAAAAGATTCTCTATCTTTTCATAAGAATAAATATTTTTTTTTTTAAATTTGGCCAACCCTGAGAACAAGTCTCGGAGAGGGCCTGTCAACCCTCAAAGGGTTAAATTCAATCGTATTTCTCACCTTTACCAAAGGCTTGGCACTAGGAGCTTTCTTTGGAGCCATGGTAGCTTATTTAGCACTTGCAAGCACTAAAATGAATGGAATATTATGAAATATTTCGTATGAACAAGTGAGGGGACCGTCGCTCACTGGTAAATAATGGCACACTGGCTGGGAAAGGAGGCCAAGGCGACTTAGAGCCGTGAGTACGCGTCCAGGACGAATGACGATTAGCGAGTCGACCGACCATTTGCGAGCCAATGTTTGGACAAAACACAACGATTTCCAAAAAGGGCGACTATCAAGCCCAACTATTATCGAGGGACCACTGTATGTGATATTTGAGGGTTTTACACCAGTAAATGAAGGTTTTTATGTCAGTGCATGTTTGTGAGCCTGTGTATATACCATTATTTATAGAAAGGAATATCTTTAGCTTATAAAAACAGTTTTATGATACCCAGGGGTAATTTGGATGAGGCAGTGAAATATTTGCATGTTAGTTTACTAGAGAAAATGTTTAGAGAGAATGGCTGCAGTGCGTTGTACAGTAAGTAGGATTATTTCAAGATGTCAATGAAAACAACTTAAATAATTCTGTATTTTCTTGTGTGGTCTTCTGTCAGGTATGACCTCTAATGATTTAATTGTGAATCGAGGTGTTAAACGTGAGGCTTATGATTAAGTGGAAAGATCTTCCGCTCACAACAGAAGGTCCCATAATCAGTTCTAGGATGGGTAAGACACTGGGCCTGCTTTCTTGCACCTGTTGCCTCAGTTTTCCTACCAGTGAATAGGTACATGAGTGCTAGCTGACTGTTGTGGGTCACATCATGGGGAAGGCAGTAATCTTTACATAGGACTGGACTTTGTAGTGAGATTTGAGAAAGAGAAGTGGTAATAAATACAAATGTGAAGGGTTGTAAGTGTGGGGTAAATTGTGCATTATCCTCTTGCTGTGTGATGAGAAGCTGTACACTATATACATACAATGATAGGCCATTAACTTGTATATTTTTCTATCACGTAGGGTTCCTGTACCAGACGAAAGATTTGACTACTTGTGTGAGTTCCACAAACCTGCCAGGTATGTCAGTTTTTTTTTGATTGACTGTAATTGATTGTCTGCTACCCAGGGCCAGATTAAGGCATGGGCTTTATGGGCTGCAGCCCAGGGTCCTCCAGAGAATAAATGAAAAGTGTTTACAGTTACTGTTGTAAGTTTATGATTCTTTCTCCTTCTTTCAACACATCGGCCGTATCCCACCGAGGCAGGGTGGCCCAAAAGTAAAAAACGAAAGTTTCTCCTTTTACATTCAGTAATATATACAGGAGAAGGGGTTACCAGCCCCTTGCTCCTGGCATTTTAGTCGCCTCTTACAACACGCATGGCTTACGGAGGAAGAATTCTGATCCACTTCCCCATGGAGATAACAGGAAATAAACAAGACACCAGCAATCCTACCATCATGTAAAACAATTACAGGTTTCTGTTTTACACTCACTTGGCAGGACAGTAGTACCTCCCTGGGCGGTTGCTGTCTACCAACCTACTACCTAGAAGATTGTGATTATAGTATGTTATTACATCACATATATGATGAACTGTTGACTGTTGTGATTAATGTTCTTCCTTTTGAAAATAAAACTGGAGGCCTCACAGTACCTGTAGCCCAAGGTCCTACAAAATCTTAATCCCACTCCAGTGATACCTGTATACTGAAAAATTATTTTTACCTGTACTCTGAATTATGATTGAAATGGGTAATAGTTCAGGAGTTTCCAGTGACCTTCAGAAGAATTACTTTGATTAGTTTCTTTTAACACACCACACCAACTATCTCCCACAGAGGAGGGTGACCTGAAAAAGAAGAAATATATTTTCTTCTTTTTACATTTAGTAATTTATACAAAAGGATTACTAGGCACTTGGTCCAGGCATTTAAGTTGCCTCTTATGACACACATGGCTTATGGAGGAAGGAGTCTTCTCTATGTTCCCAAGGATAACTTTGATTAATATAAGGCTGAAAAAAAAAAAGGAATACTCTCCATGTTGGATCTTGATTCAATGGGAAACCAGGTACTATTCATTCCATGTAACTAGGTCAAAAAGAAGCAAAGCCAGGTTCCTTGAATCTTTATGCTTGTGAAAGACTCTTCGTTCAAGAAACTGGAGCTACCTTCCTCTTCCCCTTCTTGGGTCAAACCTAGTAACCTATTTCTCAGGTGTTGTATGACTCCTATGGGTTTAGTGCTTCCTCATGAATGTAATAACATTAATGTGACAAATATAGTATTGCATATAGTGGTGGTGATGCCACCTTGCCCAAGATCAAGCTCCAAGAAATTCATCAAAGGTATATTAAAGAAACTAATCAAAGGTATACCATAGGTGGGGGACGTATATCTCAAATAAAATTGACATTTTGATAGAAATGATGTACATGTATTTAATAATCATCATCTTTTGATATTTCTGGTTAACTAAATACATTGCTTAGACCTTGGGTGAGATATGGCTGATGAAATAAAAATTTGACTTAAGATCCATCCCTGGTGGGAGAAAGCTAAAACAATATATTTTCTGTATGCTCATCAGTACCACTGAAAGGCAGTGTAAGTTACTCTGCCTGGGAAAATTTTTACTTACGTTTTATCGTAACGGACTATACAGTACAGGGTATCCCTCATTTTATATTGTAGATGTATTCCAGGCTCTTGGCAGTGGTACCAAGCTCAATCAGGCCATAAACATTTCATTATGCATAATAAAAATCTTCAGTGCACTTTGCTATTTGTACTGATCATTTTTTTTTTTTTTTTTTATTATCACACTGGCCGATTCCCACCAAGGCAGGGTGGCCCGAAAAAGAAAAACTTTCACCATCATTCACTCCATCACTGTCTTGCCAGAAGGGTGCTTTACACTACAGTTTTTAAACTGCAACATTAACACCCCTCCTTCAGAGTGCAGGCACTGTACTTCCCATCTCCAGGACTCAAGTCCGGCCTGCCGGTTTCCCTGAATCCCTTCATAAATGTTACTTTGCTCACACTCCAACAGCACGTCAAGTATTAAAAACCATTTGTCTCCATTCACTCCTATCAAACACGCTCACGCATTGCCTGCTGGAAGTCCAAGCCCCTCGCACTACAAAACCTCCTTTACCCCCTCCCTCCAACCCTTCCTAGGCCGACCCCTACCCCGCCTTCCTTCCACTACAGACTGATACACTCTTGAAGTCATTCTGTTTCGCTCCATTCTCTCTACATGTCCGAACCACCTCAACAACCCTTCCTCAGCCCTCTGGACAACAGTTTTGGTAATCCCGCACCTCCTCCTAACTTCCAAACTACGAATTCTCTGCATTATATTCACACCACACATTGCCCTCAGACACGACATCTCCACTGCCTCCAGCCTTCTCCTCGCTGCAACATTCATCACCCACGCTTCACACCCATATAAGAGCGTTGGTAAAACTATACTCTCATACATTCCCCTCTTTGCCTCCAAGGACAAAGTTCTTTGTCTCCACAGACTCCTAAGTGCACCACTCACTCTTTTTCCTCATCAATTCTATGATTCACCTCATCTTTCATAGACCCATCCGCTGACACGTCCACTCCCAAATATCTGAATACGTTCACCTCCTCCATACTCTCTCCCTCCAATCTGATATTCAATCTTTCATCACCTAATCTTTTTGTTATCCTCATAACCTTACTCTTTCCTGTATTCACCTTTAAATTTTCTTCTTTTGCACACCCTACCAAATTCCTCCACCAATCTCTGCAACTTCTCTTCAGAATCTCCCAAGAGCACAGTGTCATCAGCAAAGAGCAGCTGTGACAACTCCCACTTTGTGTGTGATTCTTTATCTTTTAACTCCACGCCTCTTGCCAAGACCCTCGCATTTACTTCTCTTACAACCCCATCTATAAATATATTAAACAACCACGGTGACATCACACATCCTTGTCTAAGGCCTACTTTTACTGGGAAAAAATTTCCCTCTTTCCTACATACTCTAACTTGAGCCTCACTATCCTCGTAAAAAAACTCTTCACTGCTTTCAGTAACCTACCTCCTACACCATACACTTGCAACATCTGCCACATTGCCCCCCTATCCACCCTGTCATACGCCTTTTCCAAATCCATAAATGCCACAAAGACCTCTTTAGCCTTATCTAAATACTGTTCACTTATATGTTTCACTGTAAACACCTGGTCCACACCACCCCCTACCTTTCCTAAAGCCTCCTTGTTCATCTGCTATCCTATTCTCCGTCTTACTCTTAATTCTTTCAATTATACTCTACCATACACTTTACCAGGTACACTCAACAGACTTATCCCCCTATAATTTTTGCACTCTCTTTTGTCCCCTTTGCCTTTATACAAAGGAACTATGCATGCTCTCTGCCAATCCCTAGGTACCTTACCCTCTTCCATACAATTTATTAAATAATTGCACCAACCACTCCAAAACTATATCCCCACCTGCTTTTAACATTTCTATCTTTATCCCATCAATCCCGGCTGCCTTACCCCCTTTCATTTTACCTACTGCCTCACGAACTTCCCCCACACTCACAACTGGCTCTTCCTCACTCCTACAAGATGTTATTCCTCCTTGCCCTATACACGAAATCACAGCTTCCCTATCTTCATCAACATTTAACAATTCCTCAAAATATTCCCTCCATCTTCCCAATACCTCTAACTCTCCATTTAATAACTCTCCTCTCCTATTTTTAACTGACAAATCCATTTGTTCTCTAGGCTTTCTTAACTTGTTAATCTCACTCCAAAACTTTTTCTTATTTTCAACAAAATTTGTTGATAACATCTCACCCACTCTCTCATTTGCTCTCTTTTTACATGCTTCACCACTCTCTTAACTTCTCTCTTTTTCTCCATATACTCTTCCTTCCTTGCATTACTTCTACTTTGTAAAAACTTCTCATATGCTAACTTTTTCTCCCTTACTACTCTCTTTACATCATCATTCCACCAATCGCTCCATCTTCCCTCCTGCACCCACTTTCTGTAACCACAAAACTTCTGCTGAACACACTAACACTACATTTTTAAACCTACCCCATACCTCTTCGACCCCATTGCCTATGCTCTCATTAGCCCATCTATCTCCAATAGTGTTTATATCTTACCCTAACTGCCTCCTCTTTTAGTTTATAAAACCTTCACCTCTCTCTTTCCCGATGCTTCTATTCTCCTTGTATCCCATCTACCTTTTACTCTCAGTGTAGCTACAACTAGAAATGTGATCTGATATATCTGTGGCCCCTCTATAAACATGTACATCCTGAAGTCTACTCAACAGTCTTTTATCTACCAATACATAATCCAACAAACTACTGTCATTTCGCCCTACATCATATCTTGTATACTTATTTATCCTCTTTTTCTTAAAATATGTATTACCTATAACTAAACCCCTTTCTATACAAAGTTCAATCAAAGGGCTCCCATTATCATTTACACCTGGCACCCCAAACTGATCATATACAGTGATTATATATTGCATATACAAGCAGGTCCCACTTATAAAACCAGTTAGGTTCCAGGCTACTGCTGTAAAGTGAAACATTGCCTTTTTTCACTTTCAAATGCATATAAAAGCCTGATAACATGTTTACAGTGTCATATGTTAAGTGAGCATTAGAGCTAGGCCTAAAAAATTCATATTCAATACACACATTACTTAGAATATTTTTCTCCTTAGCTTTTTGTGAGTGAATATATTTATTGTAGGAAGTCTGAATAAATGAAGAATGACTCTAATTGAAAACTGCTGCATTAGTGAAATGCTGTAAAGTGAAGCATTGTTAAGCTAAGCACTGTAATGTATAGAATTACCAATAGAAATAGGATATCATATAATAATGAATGCACATAAATATGCATAAAATGAGAGAGGAGACCTGTATATGAACAGTTATCTACTTGTCTTATTAGCATACCTTTTTCTCTTGTTTAGCAAAGTTCCTGCATTCCTGAACGTGACTGATATTGCTGGTCTAGTAAAAGGTGCAGCCGAGGGACAAGGCCTGGGAAATGCTTTCCTCTCTCATATCAAGGCCTGCGATGCTCTCTTTCATCTCACTCGTAAGTTATTCTCAGTTATTATGCCTCTGTGTGTGTGTTTCACCAGAGAAAACCTGCCTTTGGTTGAAGATTGTTGTATTATTACAGATGTAGTACGTATTATTATAGTCATGGTAGTGCTAAACCCATAAGGCCATACAACACCTGGGGAATGGGAGGCAGTCAGGTTTACTGTGAAAGATTGAGAGCATAGTGCTTCCAGCTCCTTGATCAGGACCCCATTGATGGGTACAGATGTATTAATGGATGTGCCCTTTGATTTATGCTGTAAAAAGTTGAAAGTCCAGATAAAGAATGGGGTTCAATTTTATTTTTCTGTCAGTTTTGTACACTACCCTGAAGGACTATCTGGGTTTAAGCTTTTGCAAATACCAACTTAGAGCAAGGCTAGGGTAAAGTTTAGGATGGACCTGGTATTGTTGAGGATAATGCAGGTCTACATGAAAAGGATTTATTGAGTTGTAAAAGACTCAGAATGATTATCATATCCATCTTAGAATTTAACCTTTGGATTACAGATTGAGAGGCATTGAAGGTGGATGCCATAAAGGTGGATTTGATATCCTTTTCATTTTTCAGGCTTGATTATTTTAAAATGATCTTTTTCTGTCAGCTACATTCTTTTTAATCATTGCACTTACTATTCATACATAAGGTACTGGATAAAATATTAATGCACATTCTAATGCCCTTCCCTTTAAATTTTTCACATACTAAACTTTTTTTTTATTTTGCTCTAGTTCTTTATAATTTATTATCCACCCTTATCATTTTTGTTTCACTGTTTCCAATATTGCATATTGCTGTGAGGAAACTTGTATATCCAGTTGTGTTTTACGTCGTTCATTACAGGGGCATTTGAAGACGATGATGTTACCCATGTGGAGGGTGATGTTAATCCTGTCCGTGACCTGGAAATCATTCTTGATGAACTGCGATTAAAGGTTTGTGTGTCTTTCTTTTGCTGTAAATTATACAAGAAGTGAAATTTTTGTGTTATTTTGCTGGAGAGTTTTTAGAAGAGGTTAGTGAATATTTGCTGTATATGAATTTTTCTTTTGCAGGACATCGAGTATATTGAGACTGTGTACGATAAGCTATTTAAATTAGTAGAACGAGGAGGGGACAAGAAGCTGAAGCCTGAATTTGATTGTGTGTGCAAGGTCAAAAATCTCTTGCAGGAGGAGAAGAAACATGTACGATTTGCTGAATGGGATGTCAAAGAGGTGAGTCTTACTGGGGTCTTTGAATACAGTAAGCCCTTGTATTACACAATACTTATTATCCTGAAAATCATCATTTCCTGAGAAATATGTCATCAAAACTAAATTATTATTATTATAATCATAACTAAGTGCTAAACCTATAAGGGTCATACAGCGCTTTGTCAAAACTAAAGACATCATTGGATAATAGGATTAGAGTTCAGTTCTCAAAAATCACCAGGTCTGGCAGTACAGCTGTTGAATGAATAATGGTGAATGTTTCCTTTATTGGAATCCTCAGTTTGGTGGAAAATGGACGATTTGGTAAAAAAAAAAAAAAAAAAATTCTGTATTTCACAAACTGAGAGTCCAGACATAATATCATATCTTTTAAAGGGTTGTTAATTTGAGGATCTTTGGTTGAGGTGGGAGAATATGGCTGTTTGGATAATATTTAAGTGTCTTCACATGTCGATAGATGTGGTTTATTAGTGGATCAAAGTTCTCTACAATGTGTTGGTGGATCAAAGTTCTCTACAATGTGTTGGTGGATCAAAATTCTCTGCAATGTGTTAGTGGATCAAAATTCTCAGTAATGTGTTGGTGGATCAAAATTCTCTCAAATGTGTTGGTGGATCAAAGTTTTCTGTAATGTCTTGGTAGATCAAAGTTCTCTATAATGTCTTGGTGGATCAAAGTTCTCTAATGTCTTGGTAGATCAACATTTTCTATAATGTCTTGGTGGATCAAAGTTCTCTGTAATGTCTTGGTGGATCAAAGTTCTCTGTAATGTCTTGGTGAATCAAAGTTCTCTGTAATGTCTTGGTAGATCAAAGTTTTCTGTAATGTGTCTGCATGATCTGTATTGATCTATACAATATAAAATTCAGTAGTTTATGACATTCAACATCCCAAAGCAAGTTATACACTTCTAACTATATTAGAGCTGTGACAAGATTAATAATTCTGTTTCACCAGCATGGTTGTTGGTGTGAGCTAATTCTTCTCCTCCTGCTTCACTTCTCTTCCTGCTTCACTTCTCTTGCTGTTTCACTTCTCTTCCTGTTTCACTTCTCTTCCTGCTTTACTTCCTCTTCCTGCTTTACTTCCTCTTCCTGCTTTACTTCCTCTTCCTGCTTTACTTCCTCTTCCTGCTTTACTTCCTCTTCCTGCTTTACTTCCTCTTCCTGCTTCACTTCCCCTTCCTCCTCTTTCTTAGATTCCATTTCCAGCATTTTTTTTCAGTGAGGTATGACTTATCTTCCAACAGTTTTTCTAACTTTCCTATAACATTGAAGGAGGAAGAACATTGAAAGCCATTTTTTTCATTACAAATGAAGAATAACTATATAAAGCATTACTGGATTGAACTGTCCCTTCAGGGTTGGTGCCTTAATGTTAGTAAAGGGCACTTGATTAAGGGAATTGAAGCTGCCCTCCACTTTCTTGGATCAGATCTTATTACCTCTCATACCCAAAGGTGCTCTATAACCCTTGTGGGTTTAGCACTTCCCTGTGAATATAAAAATATGCAGGAAAAAGATTGTCCAGGGTTATCCCACTTTAGTTCACTGGACAATAAACTAGCAACCTTTGTCCGCTGATGACGTAATTTCGTGTGTCCTTTATTAACAATATACCGAGTTGCAAGTTACCCATCATGTTAGTGTTCAGGTAAAGAATTTTTTCTGGCACTTCATTCAAAAATCGAGCATTTTTCAAAATTGATATACAGCCTCTCCTCACTTTGCGATTTTCTGTTTACCAACGCCTCGGACTTATGACTGGCTCTTTGACCAGTATTCATACCTAAATAATGTACATTAGAGCTGATTTCCTCTATTCTGTTTATTTTAATATACAGTACACTACTGTATATACATTTAAAAATATACCAGACATGTTATAAATGGTGCAAAGGTGACATTAAAACAGTATCAAAGATGGTTGACACAAAACTTGCTACCATTATAGTGTGCTCCTCACTTAGCGACAAATTCGTTTAACGACATGGTCTTAGGAACAGAACTCCGTCGTTAAGTAAGGATAGGCAGTACATACTACTCAGCACTTCTCAAAATATCTGAACATTTTGAATAAATATGTGATGCAGATTTTCTCTTTTTTTTTTTTTAATATGATATTAAATGCATTGCTCAGTTGACATACATACAGACTTAATTGACATATGTACATGCTGCTTAATTGGTGCTGGCTTGTCATTATTACTCAAAATAAGGAAAAAAATTATTTCCATTTTTTCTGCAGTGAATTTTTTTTTTTTTTTTCAGATTCAAAGTCAACATACCTGTAGTTGAATTAGTCAGAAATGCATTTTTAACTCAGTAGCAAAGTTATCATTGTCTGGTGTTACTTGACTTTAACCCTTTGACTGTTTCAGGCCCCTTTCTGAAACTGTCATTCTATGTCGCCAAATATTCAGAAAAAAAAAAAAATTTTCCTTATGAAATGATAGAGAAGCTTTTCCCGATGGTAATGACACCAAAAGTTCGAAATTTGGTCGAAAACTCACGGAATTACGCTCCGCGAAGTTAGCGGAATCGACAACATATGTGTATCGGCGATTTCGCCGACTTTGAGCCCTGTTTTCAGCCAATTTCATTGTTCCAGTTGACCAAACTCATAGCTATTTCTTTAGAACTCCATTTTATCTATCAGCTGAGTACAAGAAACCGCCCATTTACTAATTTGAATTACCCAGTATAGTGGTCAGAAATTGGCAATTTGGCCAATTTCACACAAATTAAAAAAGATGCCAATTTCAAAATAGGGTCCAGAATAAACAAGGTAGACATTCTTGGCACTAAAATAGCATATCCTCTGTTCATTAGTCACATCTCTAGGCCCCTCTTATATTATTATTGCTTTCTATTTTGATTTTTTATTCATACAAAAAAATACAAAATTTACTGTTATGCAGACTACTGCATTATTGTAAAAATGGTATAAATAATATCAGTGCACTAGTGAAAGAATATTAGACTCCCCAGGTGATGTATATTGGACGTGTGGTGTGATTTGTTTACTCCTGAACATTGGTAAAAATCGAACATTTCTGCTAATTTGAGCTCAGTTTCAAGGTCGTTTTCATCATCAAAGTAATGAAAATCATCTCTATTTCTGTAATATGTTTTCCATTTTATCACCTAAGACCATGAAAACGCGAATACAACGATAAATATTATACGAAAATACACCTCAAAGTCAGCGTTTTATTCCAAAAAACGATCAGTTTTTTTTTCTCATTACGCAATGTGTGCTGCAGGATTTTTTTTATGTGGTGCACACTGATCACACAGACCCATTCTCTCACATGTGGGCCTACCAGCTTTCTCCCGCTTGATTTTAAGCCGCTAGAATTATTGAGTATATATACGTCAGAAACATTGGCTCGTAAGACGTATTTATACGTCGAAAACAGTCAAAGGGTTAATGATGTCTAGTCTGAGGCTAAATCCATTGAGTTTACTAATGTAGTTATGTCAATTATTTTCAGATTGATGTGTTAAATAAGCACTTGCTTATAACCAGTAAACCCATGATCTACCTGGTCAACTTGTCTGAAAAGGACTACATTAGGAAAAAAAATAAATGGTGAGTACCCAGACTACATTAATGTTAGTGAAGGATGATGCTTGCCAAAACTTTCCCAAGCTTTATTTCCCTTCAAGGATGAGGGGTGTCTTGATGCAAGTGAAGGGCCCTTGATTCAAGGAGTTGAAGCTACCTTCCCCTTCTGGTCAAACCTGATTTACTCCCATCTGTAGGCTCATTAAGACCATATGAGTGTGGTGCTTCTCTGTAATTAGAATAATTTAATGTCATCAAATCTTTGATGCATCCAGATGATGCATCAAACTCTTCATTAAGTATTTTAAGGCACTACCATATATATATATATATTTTTTTTAATGTACCAGCCGTCTCCCACTGAGGCAGTGTGATATCAACAGAAAAACAAAAGTTTTTCTTTTTTACACTTGGTAATTTATACAGAAGAAGGGGTTACTAACCCCTTACTCTCAGCATTTTAATCGCCTCTTGTGACTTACAGAGGAAGGATTCTTTTCTGCTTCCCCATGGAGGAGGCACTATCATATTTACCATTAACCCTTAAACTGTCGAAACAAATTTACGTCCACATGCATAGTGCTCTGAAGGAGGGGTGTTAATGTTGCAGTTTAAAAACTGTAGTGTAAAGCACCCTTCTGGCAAGACAGTGATGGAGTGAATGATGGTGAAAGTTTTTCTTTTTTTGGGCCACCCTGCCTTGGTGGGAATCAGCCAGTGTGATAATAATAAAAAATAAAAAATGCGTAGTGCTCCAAAAGTAGATCTGTGTTTTTTTTACATATTTTCAAATATAACCAAAAAAAAAAGTAGATCAAAGTTTTTTTACACGTTTTCAAATGTAAAAAAAAAAAAAATCTACTTTTTTTTTTTACATACTTTCAGATGTTGAAAAAACGTAGATCTACGTTTGGACAGTTTAAGAGCTAATAGCAATTTGGGATTTTGTTATTCCTGAGTACCTGTTTGCTCAAGAAATTCAAACCAAGCAATAGCTACAACAACAACAGCAATGAAGAAAAAATGTTAAAATTTATATTTAAAAATGATAGTATGATCATCAGGATCATAAGCTGAGACTTGAAAGCATGAAAAGATTTCTAATTTTAAAATATTTCCTAAAAACTGTGTACATTGCCTGATGTAGATAAATGGTTCAAAGAACTGACAAGTTAATAGACATGTGTGCAACACTTAGGTATGTGTGTTGTGGAAACGTTTCACCACACAGTGGCCATTCGTCTTTGTATAGGTCTGATGAAGCATTGTGGTGAAATGTCTCCACAGTAAAGATACCCAAGTGTTGCACACGTGTCTAATTTATTACATTGCCTGATGTTACTGAAATTATTAGATTTACTGCAGTGATCTTGCTTGTGTTTCTGGACAGTTTTCAGTTAGTTTATTGACGATTAGTAGTTAATATTTCCCTCACCAAGTATTCACTCTCACATTGTTTAATTTTAAATATTTGTCGGGTGACATTTTTTTTGCATATTCTGTTGACATCGGCACCTGAGTGAGGAGGCACCTTGAAAAACAGTTTGTAATACCTCATTGTAATGGACTAATAGGAAGGAGTGTCCATTAAATATCAGAATTATGTTAAAATTTAACAAGCAAATGCAGTAACATTATTTATTGTATACCCAATATAGTATACAGGCTCTCCTCAACCTATGATGGGGTTACGTTCTGACAAACCCATTATAAGTTGAATATGAATATGTTAAATAATAAGTCAATAAATGAATAATTACTGTAACTAACTAAATACCAGTATTGAAAAGTAAATAAGTGAATATGTACTAGTTATGAACTTGCCTGCTGCCTTCATGCTGGGTAATTATCTTGAGTTTCATCTCCAAAATATTTGTTTTTGCACTATCGTAAAGTCAAAATATCATAAGTCAAATCATCATAAATCAAGGAGCACCTGTACTATACACACATTTTTTTTTTTTTTTTCACTCTGGTCATATCCCACCAAGGTAGGGTGATCCGACAGAAAGAAAGCAATTTCACTGTCACTCATTCAGTGACTGTTTTGCCAGACAGGCACTGACATCACAGTTCAGATGACCCTCCAGACTGCAACATCCCCCCACCTTTCCTTCAGAGTGCTGGCACTGTACTTCCTACCTCCAGGACTCAAATTTGGCTAACAGGCTTCCCTTTAGTACCTTTGTAAATATTACCTTGCTCACACTCCACCAGCACCTCAGATCATAAAAACCACTTGCTTCCACTCCTGTCTAACAGGCTCACACAAACCTGTTGGATGTCCAAGCTCCTAACCCTCTTTTACATTCGTTCCCTAATTTCTTTATCAATTTTGGTAACTTATGTTCAGAATCTCCCCAAAGAACTGTGTTATCAGCAAATTACAGATCTGCTGTAATAAACATTGAAAATAAATGCATTAAACGTACACTTTACCCAATGGATTTTGTCTGTTATATCGTAAATCTTTTATATCAAGGTTCTTATCCCCTTATTCCTTATATCAAACCTTAATGCCTCCCATTCTCTAAACCCTAATGGGTTTAAAGCTTCCGGATTAAAACAATCTGAAATGAAATAAAATGCCAGATCAGACAGGAAAATAATTACCTTGCTCACTTGTGACTTGACAATAGTCTGGGACAGACTGTAACGTCATCTATTGTTTCCTCACTAAATGTGAGTTATTTGTGTATGATTATCTCCAGATTTTTGTTGACAATATTTTCTGAACTTTTACCATAAGTACTTTATTTTTTTTTTTATCTCTTTCATTGGATGTATCTTGATGCTGGTGAGGGGCTTTTGATCTTAGGCATAGAGGTTACCACTCCTCTTCCTCAAATCAAACTTGATTTCCTCCTATTTCCCAGGCAGTGTAAAACCTCTTCAGGTTTAGTGTTTCTCGTTAAATATAATATTAATTGGCTTCGTTTTTGTGGTATGTTAAAACATGTTGAGTGTTCCTCTTACTCATATACAATTAGGCATTCACATTTATTTTCATCCTACTACAGAAGATATCTATAAAACTGCTCTCCATTCTGTTATGTAATTGAAAAAGCGCTTCAAAAATTGAATAGCACATATCATGGAGGCCTTTCCCTGGACTATTTAATTTTAGTTACACTTCTTAATTGTATTTATGGAAAAAAATGCTACAATGGACAATGCTACATAAGCTATTCCCATATTTTTTCCATGTGATTACTAGAGACAGTCTCCTCTAATCATTGTGCAACATTTAACATCAAAATTGTATCTGTACATATACAGTGAGCTTTATAAAAGTGCTGACTGCAAGCTTTATTTTTTATTTTTTAACGTGCTGGCCGTCTTCCACTGAGGCAAGGTGACCCATCTTAAGATTAGTAAATAGAGGATCAACCCTCCTCCACTCCTTGCTCTGAAGAACCCATACTGTTTTAGCATTTCACATAATAATGATGATAATATTACTACTAGAAATAAGAAAACATGTTAATTTGAGTCAGCTATATTAAGATGATTCTCAGGTATAGTTACAGTATGTACTTGGATTTCCCACCACCCAGATTTTTTTTATTTTTTTTTTATGACAAAAGCAACCTGAGTAGTAAAGTGTTACATATATAGAAAGATGAACTCTGAAACACAATATGAAACAAAATTTATTACGTAGATAGAATTTGGTGGTACTGTGCAGTATTCACAAATTGTGACTGATAGAAGGGAGGGGAGAATAGAGAACACATACATACCTCTTCAACCAGGCTATTGCTAGTGGCAGCCAACTGACGTGCATAATGATCACAGCCAGGTTGAGCTAACATTAAAATTTAGATAGTAGAAGGAAAGAATGATATGGGGTTTTAATAAGTCTTGAACTAAGGGTACGGTAAGGTTACGAGGAAATAATGATGGGTGGTGGATGGATGCTAATTGGTAGACAGGTGTTAGCAGGGGACAGGTGTTATTAGAATATACCAAGTTGATATGAGTGTGTGAGGGAGGTGGACAGGAGACTTGTGCTAGGGATGGAGATACCTGTTACTGTGATTTACCTGTGACTACCTTTGAGGGGTTTCTCTACCCTAGCAGCCCAGCTGGGGGCCAGACTTCTCTGTTGATTTCCGGTTCAGCCAGGCTATTGGTGCTAGTGACCCTCTGCTCCACATAGCCATCACAGCCTGGTTGATCTGGCATTTTGCAAAAGTAGTGGTCCAGTTTCCTCTTAAAGACTTTTCTACTTGTTCTGGCAGTGTTTATGATGTATCTTAATAGTTTGGACAGTCTTGGGTTATGAATGTTGTCATAGTGTTCCCTTGTAGTATTTTCTTTTATAATTCCTCCTATATATCTCACTCCAGTACATAAATTGTTGTGGCAGTATGTATATTTGGGACCAGGCCCTCAAGTATCTTCCATGTACAGTATATTATCTAGTATATTTCTTCTTCGCTCCAGAGAGTACATGCTGAGTACTTTGAGGTGTTCCCAGTAGTTTAAATGCTTTAGTGGCTCCATTTGAGCAGTAAAGATCTCTGCACATTTTCCAGCTCTTATACCTCTCCTGACTTGAAACGAGCAGTCAACACCTGACAATTTTCTAGACGAGACAATACTAGTAATTTGACTAGTATCATCACTGGTATAATTTCTAGTTTTGAAAGTTCTCATTATCCACCCTATCATTTTCTGGCATTCTTGACATTTGCTTTATTGTATTCTCGAAATTATAGGTTATCTAACATTATACTCAAATATTTTACATGTTCCTTTCATTCTATGAGATGGTCCTCTTGTGTGTTGTATTCATTGCTCATTTTGAGTTTCTTTATTCTTTCCATATCTGAACATTTGAAATTTGTTACCATTGATCATTATGTTATTTGCATTGCCCACTGGAAGACTGTTGATGTCTCCATGTAATTTTTCATTCTCATCTGCTGAAGCTGCTTTCATGTCTATTTCAGTATCAACCACAGAGGATGATATTGTGCTGTGGGTACTGTATTTATCGGTATCTGCTAAGAGGCACT